TTATGTCCATTGGGGGGAGCTGTCACTTAGGAATGGATGTTTTCTTTCCGAGTTAGAAAGGTCTAACTCGGATTCGTTTAAATGGGAGAAATTCGTAATGCAAGAATTTTTGGTATTTCGTGTGAATGTCAGCAATTGTGCCGCCATGAAAAGCGCCACCCATTGACCTACCGCCGTTTGCGAGTTAACCACGCCCCTTAGACAACTCTATAAGCCATTTCGCGGATACCGCCATCTTTAAATTATTTTTTTTGAAGGGGGGGGGGGAGGCATTACAATGAAAATACGTCTCATCATGCAACTGTAGCTGAGAATGATGGCATGACTTTTCATTGTAATGCCCCTCCCCCCCCCATTTCAAAGATGGCGGTATCCGCGAAACGGCTCATGGAATTTTGTACGTTGACTTTTGTTTGTCTCAGATTTTGGCGTTCTGCGTCCATTTGTATATCATGTTTAGACAATATTTTACAAGCTGCGTTGACGCAATTCCACCGTGACAGGTTAATTGTCCGATAGTGGCCATTATCGCCGGTTTGTACTTACATGACAATGAGCTGAGCCTCCTGGGAATGTTGGCGAAGCAATTCACGGATCCGCATCTGTCTGTTGGTCTGAAAGAAAAAAAAAGATTTCAGGCGAAAAAATGTCGTGATTTATTGATGTTTACTAAAGTCGAGTTCCATGCACTTGGCAAATCAAATGAACTGAGAGTTGTACGAAAAATGGATTGAAAGTGATCAATCTCATTATTGAAAATCAGCCTCCAGAATGTCAAAGGTTGGACCCAATTAACAGATGTTGCAAGACTGGACTTACAATCACAAAAACCAGGGACTAAGCGTAGAGTGGACACTGGGAAAGGTTTAAGTGTATTGTCTCCATACATGGACAAAAGAGGGCGCTTTATAGTCAAACAAGCAGAAGCCGGAATGAGGGACACTTCACTGGTTCACTCATGCTGGTTATCGTGTATTTGGTACCAGCATTTATAAGCCACGATGGCGCCCAAACGGCCCTCGTTTATAGTTTTCTGTGGAGGGGGGGGGGGGGGGGGTGCTTGAGCGCAAGGAGGAGATTCTACCTTCTCGTTGAGCGTAGTGACTTCCTCCTTGCTGATCTTCCAAGGAAACTTCTCTGTGGTCTCCCCTGCTTCCTCATCCAGCATCCAGGGTTTGGACAGCTCCTTGAACCGTCTCAGGCTCTACTTCTTGGGCTTCTTGTTCTGGTCCGGGATGACCTCCACGTCCGAGCAGTTGATGCAGAACTTGCTGAGCATGTTGGCCATGTTCATCTTCTCCCTGTCCATTTGCTCCTTCTTGCCCATGGTGGCAAAGACGCGCAGCTTGCATTTCCCCAGTTGGATTTCATGGAGATGAGGTGAGGGATGAGTAGGTCAAGCCTGGGCGGGGGGGGGGGGGGGGGGGGGGGTTCACAAACAAAAATTATACAGAGCATTTTTTCCCTTTGACATAAAGCATGTGTTTCCTTAGACATGCAGCCATTCAGAATAACCTGAGAGATCTCTGAAAAGGCTCCATGAAATGAATTGGACACTGAAACATAAATAAAAATAATAAGGCCTACCAAGAACAAAAAGTGTGGTGTTTTCTATTACATATAAAAAACAACTGTGTGGTAGGGTAGATACAAATCTGTTTTGGGGGTTTGACATTTCTATAGCCTGAAAATATAGGGTGGGATGATAGTCATTGAACTTTTTCTCTCTATTTTGCATGCATTAGTTAACATGTGAATCATTCTGCACTTCTGACCAACTTACACAAAAATAAAAATAAAGTTTATAGTTTTCACTATAGAAGAGGGGGGGGGGGTGCTTGAGCGTAAGGAGGAGATTCTACCTTCTCTTTGAGCATGGTGACTTCTTCCTTGCTGATCTTCCAAGGAAACTTCTCCGTGGTCTCCAGGCTGCTTCCTCATCCAGCATCCAGGGTTTGGAGAGCTCCTTGATGATTGTGTTGGTCTTGATCTTACCCAACCAACAGCACAGAACTCCATCTTGGGCAAAATCTTGTCCTTGTACCAGCCTTCAGAAAAAGAAAAAAAACCAGTCAATTGTTATTTAATGATCGTTAACTTGGTTATATCGTTAAGATCGGAGTAAACCTGAAGTTAACACAACCTAGATATACCTCACGGTATACCAAACGTTAAATCTGACACCGTGGCAGCAAGGAGATTTCCACCTCTCTATGAATATGCCTTTGAATGAGCATGACGACTATTTATAAAAGATATAGACATATATCATACTCGGCAATAGGGATAGTCAGTGGAAAGAACTTGGGACAGGTGTGTACAAAGTTACGCGCAAGACTCAGACTTGTTTTAAGCGAATTACTGAGAAGACGACCATAATTATTGGTATGAGGATACTTTTATTATGGAGTAGATTAACCATCTTGGTTAGGGGGATATTTTTTAGAGGGGAATTATGGAGGAGACTAACCATCTTGGCTAGGGGATATTTTTCTTAGAAGGGAACTATGGAGGAGACTAAACCATGCTTGGCTCGGAGGGTGCTTTTTTTGAAGGAAATTATGGAGGAGACTACCATATTGGCTTGGAGGATATTTTTTTTAGGAGGGAATTACTAAAGGGACTAAACATCTTGCCTAGGAGGATATTTTTTAGAAGGGAATAATGGAATAGACTAACCATCGTGGCTAGGAGGATATTTTTTTAGAAGGGAATTACAGAGGAGACTAACCATCTTGGCTAGGAGAATATTTTTTAGAAGGGAATTATGGAGGAGAGGAACCATCATGGTTAGGAAGATATTTGTTTTAGAAGGGATTTATTGAGAAGACTAACCATCCCGGCTAAAGGACATTTTTAGAAGGAATTTATGGAAGAAACTAACAATCTAGGCTAGAAGGACATTTTTTTAAGAAGGGAATTATGGAGGAGACGAACCATCATGGTTAGGAAGATATTTGTTTTAGAAAGGATTAATGGCTAGGAGGATATTTTTAGAAGGAAATTATGGAGAAAGCTACAACCATCTTGGCTAGGGGAATATGTTTTTAAAGGAATTAATGAGGATATTAACCATCTTGGCTAGGAGGCTATATTGTTTTTTTTCTTTTTTTGTGAAATTGTTTTATAGAAGAATATTTCATCAAGTATTAAATATCGTGACAAAGGACGAATTAGTTATAATGCAGGCTAGGGGGCTTACTTTGTTAATGAGGAAAAAGGATTTTGATATCTGAAGGAAGGAGGTTAATGGAAACATTTTCCAGATCCCAAACCATACCTGACATCGCACCCCCCTCCCCCAGCCAAAGCTAGATCCACCCCTGTTTAGGATTTCACGCTAGTTTCTGCTATAGTGAGTAGGTTTGCGTAATTGTGAAGTAAGTGCCCTTAGATTAGCCACTCATTATTTTCATGGGAATCGCCAACACTACAACAGACATTTTTGCATGACACTTAGAAATTACAGCTTTTGCAAAAGTGTAAACAATCAGTTACAGGGGATAACTTCTGTGCTTACAGGGATAGCGCAGGATTTCGGTGCTAGTGTGCTAGATCATCAGCACAGAATTGTGTGCTTAAACCATGAAATTGAGTCTATTGAGTTAGTAGTGGCTTTGTGTACTTACATGACAATGAGCTGAGCCTCCTGGGAATGTTGGAGAAGCAATTCACGGATCCGCATCTGTCTGTTGGTCTAAAAGAAAAAGAAAGATTTCAGGCGAAAAAATGGAGTGATTTATTGATGTTTAATAAAGTCGAGTTCCATGCACTTGGCAAATCAAATGAACTGAGAGTTGTACGGAAAAATGGATTGAAAGTGATCAATCTCATTACTGAAAATCACCCACCAGAATGTCAAAGGTTGGACACAATTAACAAATGTTGCAAGACTGGACTTATCACACAAACCAGGGACTAAGCGTAGAGTGGATACTGGGAAAGCTTTAAGTGTATTGTCTCCATGCATGGACAAAAGAGGGCGCTTTATAGTCAAACTAGCAGAAGCCGGAATGAGGGACACTTCACTGGTTCACTCATGCTGGTTATCGTGTATTTGGTACCAGCATTTATAAGCCATGATGGCGCCCAAACGGCCCTCGTTTATAGTTTTCTCTGTGGAGGGGGGGGGGGGGTGCTTGAGTGCAAGAAGGAGATTCTACCTTCTCGTTGAGTGTAGTGACTTCCTCCTTGCTGATCTTCCAAGGAAACTTCTCCGTGGTCTCCCCTGCTTCCTCATCCAGCATCCAGGGTTTGGACAGCTCCTTGAACCGTCTCAGGCTCTCAGTCCTTGGGCTTCTTGTTCAGGTCCGGGATGACCTCCACGTCCGAGCAGTTGATGCGGAACTTGCTGAGCATGTTGGCCATGTTCATTTTCTCCCTGTCCATTTGCTCCTTCTTGCCCGTGGTGGCAAAGACGCGCAGCTTGCATTTCTCCCAGTTGGATTTCAAGGAGATGAGGTTGGGATGAGTAGGGTCAAGCCTGGGGGTGGGGGGGGGGGTGGTGGTGGGAGGTGGGGGCTGAGGGGGGGGGGGGTTCACAAACAAAAATTATACAGAGCATTATTTCCCTTTGACATAAAGCATGTGTTTCCTTCGACATGCAGCCATCCAGAATAACCTGAGAGATCTCTGAAAGGCTCCCTGAAATGAATAGGACACTGAAACAAAATAATAAAGCCAACCAAGAACAAAACGTGTGGTGTTTTCTATTACATATAAAAAAAAAACAACTGTATGGTAGGGTAGGTAAAAATCTGTTTTTGGGGTTTGACATTTCTATAGCCTAAAAATATAGGGTAGGATGATAGTCATTGAACTTTTTTTCTCTATTTTGCATGCATTAGTTAACATGTGAATCATTCTGCACTACTGACCAACTACCTGATTCTACCTTCTCTTTGAGCATGATGACTTCTTCCTTGCTGATCTTCCAAGGAAATTTCTCCATGGTCTCCAGGCTGCTTCCTCATCCAGCATCCAGGGTTTGGAGAGCTCCTTGATGATTGTGTTGGTCTTGATCTTACCCAACCCACCAATCTAGACGGAAACCAATCAGGAAGGAAAATTTGAATGCATTTGCTCTAAATAAATTGTCAGCTACATGTAGGTCTTGGAAAAGACCAAAGTTAGCGCTGCAAAAAGCGAAAAACCTGGACAAATCTGGTTTAATGATCTTGTTATACATTTTGCAACTTTGACGTAATTTTTTAAAGACCTGCTTAAATTTTACTCAAACTGTTCATCAAAATTCATTCCGCAAAGTCTTTTTCAAGTTCTCAACTGTGAGTACACATTTCGGTACTCAAAATACTCATCGAAATATTCATTAAAATAATTCACCAGAGGTACACAAGACTTGTAAAACGGTACTCAACTAATACAAAACCTCAGGATTCATTAAAAACAAATGAATCGACTCATAAAGTAGTACTCAGTAAAAAGTAGTCTACTTGTCAAAAAAACTTACTCAACTCATACTCGACTTATCGCAGACTGCTTCACTCGTCAAGCAGACTCGACTTAAAAGACCGGAGTTATCAAACAGTACCTCAACCCATTTAAAACTGGTGTTTCAGAGTCCCTAACTTAACTCAACTAAACTCAACTTAAATAGATTCAAGTTGCAAACACGGGCAAAGTTTTTGTATTCATTTTCCATTGATTAGACGCTGGAGTCATTCTGAACGACTGCAACACTCAATCTTTGGACGACTTTTATGTGTAGTTGCTCCTCAATGTTTCAAACGTCAAACTTAATTCAACTCTTTGGAATAATTTAGTTCGGCACTTCTCTGAATGCTAGTCTGAAACGCGTGTAGTTGTCAAAAGGTACACAACTCATCAAAATGCAGAAAACTTGAGCTATCCACGCATACTCAGGTCTGACCCTGATCCCCCTCATAAGCCTACCTGCATGAGTGCCTGTGCCCCGGTTCTTAGCGTCGGGTTTGCTACCATGGCTGGGAATGCCTTGATCTTCTGAACATCCACCCATTTCTCCTGAGAGTCTGTCAGAAGCTCCATCCAATGTGGACTCTGCTCACCCTGTATGAAAGGCGGGACAAAATTTCCCCTTAAAGCTTAGCATCTATACTTTACTAAAGAAATTAATACTCTACTAAAATAATAATTAAAAATTGCCCAGTCTGCCTACCGTCAGTATTATAGCACAGAGACAGCTTTACTTAAGATAAGAAATGATTTATTAATGGCTATGGATGGACAACAGGTTTCTTTGTTAGTTTTCATTGATTTGAGTGCCGCCTTTGACACAATTAGACCACAACATTTTACTAAATACCCTCCAGAGTAAATTTGGTATTTATGGTACTGCTCTTAAAATGGTTTCATTCTTACTTGTCTGGTAGATCCCAACGACTGTTTCTATAAATGGTAATTTCTCTCAGCAATTTAACATTGATTATGGCATTCCACCAGGCTCTTGTCTTGGGCCTTTGTTATTTATTTTGTATACAAGCCCACTGTTTGACATCATTAAGACCCATCTTCCACAGGTTCATTGATATGCTGATGATACCCAGCTGTATATTTCTTTTAGCACTGACAACTCAGAAAACTCAAAGATTGTCCTTAGCAGCTATGGAGAGCTGTATTCAGGATTTACGTAACTGGTTGTTGGCTAATGGTTTAATGCTGAATGACAGCTAGTACAACTGAGTTTATGATTATTGGGACCCACAAGCAGTTGTCTAAAGTTAACCTTGATTCCATTCATGTTGGTGATTGTATGGTTACACCTGCACCCATTACTCGTAACTTAGGCTCATGGTTTGATGTACAATTGTTAGTCAATACAGAGGAAAATTAGTGAACTTACATGTATATGGAAATCTTTCCCATTCCGGAATCGGACTTTAAGCGCATTTTATTTTGTATACTTTCAGTCACTGCTCAGTTCATTGAATTTGAAAATGATTGTAGGTGATCAGGGAAAATATGGTAATCCTTACTTTTAGGACACCTCTATTTTGTACGAGTTCTGTTCAAAACTGACTTTTGCAGATGACTGTCCAGTAGTACCAAAGTGACTTTGGCAGGCTAAAGAAGTCTTTTTTCTTCAGACAAACTCATGTTAGTTATAATTTTGAAAGCACTTTCAAAGAAAATGTGACTTTCCTACCTTTTTTGCAGTTTGCCATCTCAATTGCTTTTTAAATTTATTTTCTGTTTGTCATCGTCGTCTTTAACCCCTCATAAATCAAAACCCTGCCCTCTTTCTACAAAATCAAACCTGCTGATATTCAACAGGTGTCATTGCCAAATTATCAAATGTGTCAATAAATATCAGAATGTAACTTTTGAGTGTCATTCAGCTGTTAATTTTGGTGAGTCTTTTAACCTTATAATATAGGAATGGGGTCCTAAAAAAAAGTAAGGATTACCGAAAATATTTAGTTGGTGGGTTTTTTCCAATTTGGTACAACTATAGAATGTAATATTGGCTCTTATCTGCTTTTTTTTTAGCAAATGTACTCTTCAAATGCTCTGCCTATAATGAATTGACTAATTGAAGTGTGAATAAAAAGTCTAGACGTGATGACTTACATGTACGTTATCGATCGAGTTGTCTGCTACATGAGCCTACTGCATGACTGCGGACAATAATGGGATATCATCAAACAACAGGCGGCGCCCTCTTCACAATTAACGGTGTGAAAAGTGACAATCTCATAACCCGTAAATTCCCGGTCGCATTAATTCCTTCCTAACGAAACCATTTCCCAATTCCTAAGCAAACAGAAAAACGGATAACGAAACCCACTTCCCAAATTCCTTAGCAAAAAGAAAAACGGATAACGAAACCAATTCCCATTTCCTAAGCAAAATGAAAAACGGATAACGGACTTCGAATCGAAAATCCATTCTCGACAGCAAAACGGATAACGAATAACGATTCCCACTTCCCGACTCGAAAGCAAAACGGACAACGAATAACGATTCCCCACTTCCCAAATCCTATCGAGAAAGGAATTTGGATTTCTCAATGCATGATGGGAAAATTCGGATTTAGAAACTTTTTCGCAACTTCGTCCCCAGGGATAACTTTATTTTGTAACTTTCTTTCCTGTATTAAGTACCTGTCAGTGCGTACCGCTCAACACTACGTAAACGAGATTGTATTTGACACCGTTAATTGTGAAGAGCGCCACCTGTCGTTTGGTTATCCGACATCAACATTATGGCACGTATGGATAATGTAGCGGTAGGCTAGGCCTGTACATCAGGTAAGTCTGGACTATTTACTTGTCAAAATTCAACTTCCTTTCGGCGTACTGGAAAGATTCGCATATCTGGACATTACTCAATTTTCCCTTCAGTGATTTATGCCACCATTCCTGTTTAAAACGTCCAAAAATATTGGATTTAGCAGGGAAATTTGTTACCAAAAAACTATAGTCGGAGTCCTTACTTTAGTTACCATCGCGGTAATCCTTACTTTTAGGACCCCGTTCCTATATAGGAAGGGAAAGACTCACCAAAACAGTTGACTAAATGACACTCAAAATTGACATTCTGATATTTCTTGGCACATCTGAACAATTGGCAATGACACCTTCTTGAATATGAGCAGGTTTAATTTTGTGGAAAGAGGGCAGGGCTTTGATTTATGAGGGAAATTCAGGGGTAAAAGACGACAATGACAACCAGAAAACAGACTCAAAAACCAAGAAGGCAAATGTGAAAGCTCGCTGCGATGAAAGCTCGATGCTGATTGGCTGATAAAAAATAAACATCTTAGTCCCTATTTATTTTTAGTCTGGTTCCCAAAAGATTCAGGGGTACAACTATAGAATGCAGGGCCACTTTACTCTACATCCGCGCCTCCGTACGGCTGCGTGGAGGTGTGGAGCCGCAGTCGACCTACCTCCGAAAATCGATTGCCGCAGTCGATCTACCTCCGAAAATCGATCGTGGAGTCGTGGGATCAAAATAAGGACAGCACATAAAAAAATAAAACAGCACACCGTGTAAACTCAATGGCGCCCCCAATCACCAATCAGTAGATAGATTTGTCACAGTAATTTTCTTCTCCTTTCGGGGAAGGGCAGGGTTTTAAGAAATCATCCTGCAGGGATATATAGTCTTTCAAAGTTTAATCAACTTGAACGTTACAGGGAAAATATCAGACTTTATTCAGGGGATGTTTTGGTAAAACATTCACTATGAAAAAAAAAAGTTGAGATTATTATAAAAACCACAATTCCCACATACCGCGATAATGGGGAGTCCACCTCCATTCGCACATTCCGAGCATGTCTATTTTCACAGGCATTTGAAAAGGAAGAGTTATACAACCTAAGAGACAGGACAATTTGGGAAGGTTGGCGGGCAATCTCTATTCCAAACAAGAAACGTGATAAGTACCGTGATAATACGGTGTTCCATCCTACATGCTTACTGCCACTGCCAGCATCCTATCTGAAAAAAAAACACCACGGAGACATATATAAATGTCCAGAACTCCAGGTATGGAATCTTTCTGGAGTATTTTTTAACCCTAACCCACCTCACTCCTCCAAAATCCTCCTGGCGGTTTAGGAGGATTCTAGAGGATTGAGGATGAATGGTGATTGAATCAAATGAGGATTCTGGAGGATTGAGGATGAATGGTGATTGAATCAAATGAGGATTCTGGAGGATTGAGGATGAATGGTGATTGAAGCACAAGAGGATTCTAGAGGATTGAGGATGAATGGTGATTGAAGCACATGAGGATTCTAGAGGATTGAGGATGAATGGTGATTGAAGCACATGAGGATTTTGGAGCCGGGAAGTTCCTCCATGAGGGTGAATGCATTTTGTGGCAGGACTGTCTGATGATTTTGAAGGATTTGGCGTTGGGTTATCCTTCATTTAAACACGAGTGCAAAATTTTGGGATGAGGTGGATTTTGGAGGATTGACGATGAATGCATTTTGAGGCAGGACTGAAACATTTTGAAACATTTAGGCGGAGTTGCAAAATTTTGGAGGATTGAGGATGGTTCTGAGCAAAAAGGGCCTAGGGGGTTATTAATGCTTCAATTGCATACATTGTTAGACTTTCTTTTTGTAGCTCCATGATTGTATAGTCATTCTTCCAGAACTGTAAGTGTAAGGGTTTTAAACTAAGTTCAGGAAGTATGGTCAGGCCCTACAGGCCCCATTTTTATCGTTTGTAAATTTGTCAATTTTTTGGGAAATTGTTCTCAAATTTCACAGTAATTATTGTCAACCAAATTCTTCAAACAATGCCCTTTCCAATAATAGCAGACGAAAACAATATTTGAACTAAACCTTATGAATTAGAAGGTTAAGATGTTAAAATAACTTGCTTTGCTTTGTTTCTTGAAGTTGACAGAGTTTGAAGGTTCTACCAAGGATGTCAACTGTGGAGCACATACAGGATGCAGAGCACAGTGATGACGTATCACCATGGCAACACGTATCGCTCAAGATCACTTGAATGAGATTGTACCGTACCTGACATCATTAATTGTAAAGAGCGCCACCTGTTGTTTGGTTATCGATCAACATTAATGCAGCAGATAATGCAGCGGTAGGCTATATAGGCCTGTACGTCAGGTAAGTCTGGACTATTTATTTCTCAAAATTCAACTTCTTTTCGGCGTTCTGCAAAGATTCCCATTTATCTGGACATCACTAATTTTTTCTCTACAGTGACCTATATCACCATTAAAAGGGATAATATGTCCAAAAATGTAGGATTTAGCAGGGGAAAGTTGCTACCATGGCATGCCTACTGAGAAAACATGTCAAAGGACATTTCCTAGTCTTTGTTGGTCAGTGACGTCTGAGGTATGGGAGTCTCTCCGGAGTATTTTTGAATGCTTTGCATACATTGTTGGGTAAGACCTCTTTTTATCCCTCCATGATTGTATAGTCATATAGTCAGCAGGGCCAGGGCCTATTGTTTTTAGTTCACCGCACCTACCCCAATTAACATGATTAAGAACCCAGTATCAATGCACACATATAGTGGTGTTCCCTAACGTGGCGCACTGCGACGTTTCTCCTGACTTTCCTCATGCACGGTTGCCAAACTTCTTTGTTGATAAACTTCAAATTCATTCAGTTATTACTGGTACTTTTTCAGTAGTGTTTGCCATTTTAACTTCTGTAAACAATTTCACTGTCATACAATTTTGAGCAAAATTTCAAAACGGTGGCGTTCGGAAATTCGCCAAAAATCAGCTTAGTGTTCCCTAACACAGCGCACTTGCATAAATCTTGGAAAATTCCAGGTTAACGCTAAAAAAGTTATTTAAAGTTAGCAAATTCTTAATTAATAATAAATATATCGCTACTTTACCCAACTAGAAGTATGTCAGAAAATTATTTTCTTATTTTTGGGTGAGAATATCAGTGGTGAGTTGAAGGTAGATTGTTTCTTGATTATAATTTGAGTTAGAAATGTGATTCGGGTTTGTAACTTCAGGGGTTGCCCTTCAGGAAAATCAAGTTTGGATTGATTTGGGGGTCAAAATGTCAAAGGTCAATGTCATTGGTCAAGGTCTAGGTCATTGTTTTGACCAGCAATTATCCTACTATACATGAACTTGTAATTTCACACCTTATATCAACAAACTCAGGCCGAGGGGTTTCAACAGCACCGCTATATTTTTTTAGGAAAGTTGCAGTAATGTTTATTGATTCATTCTATTTCATTAACAGCTTTGAAAATGGAGTTGAGGCCAGACAGACAGGGGGCATAGGACTGCATATTTGCTCGCAGGTCATTTTATGTAATGCATTTAATGTTAGACACTATTCGTTTGTGAACTTTTCTCCAAAAACCTGACAATGTTTATTGCCAATCGCCCTCTAATATTCAGGACCAATTTTTTTGAATTATTCTTGACCATTTATTTGGTGAACAATTTTGACCATCGTCTGACTAGAGGCGTTTGCATGTTGATATTAGTGCTCAGGCATCAAATTACGTCAGGTATCGACCACTAGTCTCGCCCCAACTTGCTCATAGTTGTATCTGTGGCATGGTTTAGCTGTATTGGCCCTTTTGGGGGAAAAAAACTTGAGTAGTGCAGGTGGGAAAATTATCACAAAAACCAAGATGACATTTTGTGTGTTTACGTTTCTAGAGTTACTTCAACAACGACGATAGGTTCAACTACAACTATGCGCAGGCCAAAGCCACAGCAGGCAGCTACAAGGAAGCACAGGAGGTAGGTTGGACTCCCGGACCCAATTTTCGTTGTTGCGCCCTCAATAGTTGGCCAGTCATGGCGCAGTGACTCGTCATGGTGCCTGAACTAGTCCTGGTGCCTTTCATTTGCAAACATCAAAAACCCAAACTACCAAGTTATTATGAAATACCTGACTGTTAGGGAATAATAGTCTCAAGCATCCTGTGAAATCACGGCACCTGGTGTGCTGTTATTTCCAAGACAAGTGGAATTTTGTATCAATTTCCACCGATGGTCGGCCCTGTTTGAGAGAGAAGCCTGACTTTCTGTCTGTTCTCATCCATATACTGTTGCCGTATACCTAAATGTAGAACAAAAAGATATTGCAATAGCTTGTTTTCCCACGTGCTGCATCTCTTTGGAATTCCTTGCTTGGTGCTTATTTCCCTCCAACCTATGATCTGTCCTGATTCAAGAGGAGTGTGGAGTGCTGTGGCCTCGTGGTTAAGGGCGTTGGATACGTGGTCTGCGGTAAAGCTGCAGGTTGTGGGTTCGAGTCCAGCCTGGGGTCATGGTGCGTGTGCCCTTGGGCAAGGCACTTTGTTACTCATTGCTTCTCCCCACCCAGGAGTAAT